TCTCTAACGATACCTAATCAGTATTCTTAGATCAGTTCAATAAAACACAATAAAATTAAAAAACAAGGTTCTGGCGAAATTAGAGGCATATGGCAGTTTTCAACTTACATCTTAGGGTGACGGGTGCATAGGTAGTGCTCCCAGTAGATTTTACTATTTAAAGCTCTGAGCGAAACTGCAACTGTTATGGACAGGTGTTGCTTACCATCAGGCGCACGACTAGTTCGTCCCGTCTTTGGGTGTAATAAAAAATCTAAAACGCGTATATTTACCTTTGTGACGCTGCGACCTTTTTCATGGTCATCCCACCTTTTCTCTAGTTCCTGGCCACTTTCTTTTGAAAATTTTAATCGTTGTCTAATTGTTTTTCTTCGTCATTCCTATTTTGCTTCGTTCCAATGCCACTCCCATCAAAATTCCCGAGGAGAGAAGACCTCATCATGTATAAATATCTCTCATCATGTATCACTACATGCTAAATTGCAAATACAATTTCTTATGTACGTTTTACAACGATGTAACGCATGTTTGTGGAAATGTTCAAAATGTCGAAGTTACCATAAACAGTTCCTGATACGTCAAGAAATGATAAAGCTCTACAAGCAAATCATGTGGCTTCTCAAGGCTATATTACAACCTACAACCTACAGGACATGCTTGGGCGGTGCCACCCGGCCACACCTTATCAAACAAACCAGCATTTCGTGTTCTTTACACGTCTCATGGTCACTGCTGCCTAAGTATAGTAGTGCCTACAGTACCAGGTCGTATATATTTTGCACATCGGGAAACCTCGGAATTCACGAATATATCCGACGGTTGCTGTCGCGTCTATATGTTATCGTGTTAGAGCGGTTAAACAAGGTGACGTTTAGCAGCGATTCAAATGCGATACAAACGCGATGCACGTTTTAAATTAACTAACTCATTTATTTATTTAACTTATTTATTAATTCCACTATTAAATTTACAATTGACAAAACAAAATAATGTGCGTAAACGTATACAGATTTTTCGCATATAATTATTCAACTTATACGATTGTATCGATGTATCGATGCGATCGAGCGTTACACGATGACAACGAAATAAGAAACTTTATTTATATACATCAGTTATTAATGAAATAAGTTATAGACGCGGCAACAGCATTCGGAAATATTCATGGGTTCCAGATTTTCCCGATGTGCAATATTTACAGCCTGGTACTTAACTAATATCTTAACAGAAGCAACGACACGATACTGCTCTATGTATAACAAAGTGTAAAGAGCGATTTTGAGCGACTTGATTCATAAATAATTCAAATATTTTTTAATCACTAATTATTTTAAGTCAACGGATAGCAATCAACTGACTCTTGAATCGAAGCCTTAAAGTATATGTAATTATCATTAATAGAGAATTAACTACTATGATATTCAATTCTTTTGTGTGAAAGTGCTCCACTAGTTCTCTTTACACACGGACTTATATAGCCCTGTGCTAGGGAAACCTATTATCGCGAGTGTCATGGTCAAACACATATGTAGACACCCAATTACACCCAAATTCACGCGAGAAATAGATGTAGGCCATACATTGACTTACAAATAAATGGACGACGGGTCTAATACAAAAACCACGAAAAAAATGTCCCAAGTCAACCTATTTAAACGTAGTGACATGTAAAGGAATATGAAAAAGCTAAAACGTTGAATTTAAATTGTAATGTCATCGCAGTACTGCCTAAATTTGCTTGCTTCGCTGTCAGTCGAACAAACGAAGACTAAAGCGTGAATGACGCTCTGTATACGATTTTAACGCCCTATAAGTTCGGACACTTTTTAGCGCGGACCCGACGTCCATATAATTGTAAGTCAATGAGGCCATACAAATATTTCTCCCGGCCCGGGAATAGAACCCGAGACCTCTGCGTGCCAGACCAACATGGAAACCGGCCACGATGGCAGTATCTATTAGTTATTTATACAGTCCGGCGTCATATATGTATAAGACATTCGATCGCATTATTCATTACATTTCAACAAGTTATTAAACACTCAATCGCTTTGCCTCCATGGCCGAATGGTTTCATGCTGGACTGCCACGCTACACCTACATTTACATCTCTCGTGAGTTTGGGTGTAATTTGTGGTTGTTTAAGTGTGTCCATGGCACCCGCAATACGGGGTTTCCCTAGTGCGGGGCTACGAGTGTGTGCGTCGTTATTATTATTACTTTGCTTAGAATTATAACTTTTGTATGACAAAAAACCGACCCCAAAAGCTCGTGGAATTATATCTATTTGTTAAGTTTTATTGAAATCGGTTACCGGAAAGTGTACGGTACCGAAAAAAAGTATCATCAAAATCAATACTCACAAAAAAATACAGCCTAATTGATTACCTCCTCCTTTTTTTAAAGTCGGTTAAAAGTTGCTCCCCATTTCTCGACAGCGGCAGTATTTTACCGAATTTGCGGCCAAATCAAAAACGCCTCAGAGCTTGATTCACGGTTGTCTAAACCGGCCATCCGAATGCAAACCGTATCTCTGGAGGGCAACGGGCGCGCCGCCGGTAAATCGAAAAGAGAAACTATCGGTTAAAAGTCGCGGTTACAACCTACTTTATATGACGTCGGCGTACAGAGTCTTTCAGAGCAAGTACATACTGAACTTAAGGGTGGGACGTGTTTCTCGGTCTTATTTTTGTATATACGTCCACTTTCTTTTTACAGTACGATGAATGTCAATATGTTCTCTTGCCTAGATCAAGACTTAGTTATGGTTCTTTAAATAATCGTTGTTTAGACGGTATAAATCGAATATTATTTTCTGTTTATTTTCTACAAATCGCACATTGTGGAATTGAGAAGACACAATTTGAAAATTAAAAAAAAATGTAGTGAATGTATCTTGTTGCGAATATTGTGATTATTTTTCTAAACATCATGTAGGATGACAGCACTATGGGTGCAAGCGAGAGGGTATATGTGAGAAGGAAGGGAATTTAAAAAAGAAGGGAGTTTAAAACGTGTGCAGGAGGAGTGACTTTCAAAAATATAAAATGATTTGTTTTATCGAAAATTTGCTTTTATTCATACCACCACCCCACATACACAATACTTAATTATCCATTTATAAACGAAAATACATTATGTGTCCTCTCAATTTTGAGTTACGACAATATCTGGTTTCGCGTATCTCTTTGAAAGGTATGTGAACCTAAGAACAAAGGAAAAATATCGTAATTTTAATATGGTCGGCTTCTACGATGTTACCATGGCATTAAACAAAATAAAATAATGGGAAATGAAACCATATTTTCGGTTCTAGACTGCTTATATTTCTTTTTTCGAATATAACCAACATTTCGGCGCTTCACAGGTTTCCTAATCACGACTGTCTGCGATGATATTAAATATTAACCAGTTATGTCTGATATTTCCAGACATAGTCTGAACTATATTTATGGTATGCAAGAAGACGTCGGTTCGAATCCGACTGGATCGAAGGATTTTTTTCTGAGTGTTCGATCTTTGTATTAATAATTATAACAAACTAGTGGAGTAATTTCACAAAAAATAATTGAATATCAATTCAATAAAAATTTAATTAATACAGTGAATAGCGACATCTCTCGCCAGGACTGGTAGCTGTAAAGGTACTAACTGGGTGATAAATCTGTCATAAATTTCTCATAGATGGCGCTACGACTAAAAAGTCGT